ACGACGAGGGTGACGAGAGTAATACGCGCCCGTGTATATATATGCGCGCACGTGTATCGATGCAATTTACCTCGTTGCGCTATACTACTGCTGTTGCTGCTGTCGTCGATGCTGGCTTAACGTAAAATGTATAATGATGTATAGAGATGTACGTGTGTAAAAGAGCCGAGCTTGTTTACAATGAGGCAGTAGGATGTAAAAAAAAAGAAGCAAAAAATAAAGAAAAAAATAAAGAAAAAAAGAAATGGCTCGAGACTCGACACGACTTGATGAATTCTCTGTTATCCGAAGCCTTTACCCCATTTAGTACGAAATCCCTGTGTATTTGTGCGCGAACTGCTGGGTATACGTATGTATGTACGGAGTTGCAACTGAATAGCGTACCGTGCAGCAACGGGATGATGGTGAAAGTAGGACAAACGAAACCCAAAGTCTCTCTCTCTCTCTCTTTCTCCCTCTTTCTCTGTACCGTATATAAACCCGCGTTTGTTTGGAAAAATATAAAAGTACACACGATATAAAGCGAAATCAGTAACTGTTCTCTCTTTATCTCTTCTCCACGTGTGTTTGTATTTTTTTTCTTTATTTTGCCTACGCAAGTCCCCCGCTTTGAAAGCGAAAAACAATAAAATCACGTGAATCATTTCGCTGTCTCTCTATATTTTCTAATTATTGAATATACGCGCCCACGCGCTTGCTTTTGCTAGCATATAGAGGATCCCGCTTCTTCTTATTCTCCTTCTTTTGAGCCGGCACAAACACGGGCGCACACACGTGTATTTTGTGCATCTACTTTATGCTTGTATGTGCGGGCGAGTCTTGAGTGAGAGAGAGAGAGAGAGAGAGAAAGAGAGAGAAAAGAATGAGCTTGCGCTCGCGGATAGAGAGCGCGGCGCACAGAAACCCGCCTCTCTCTCTCTCTCTCGCTGAAGAAGCCTTTATGCATTCACCTGTATTATATACGTATACGTAGAGTACGGAAGCATTCGACTTTGATCTTTGAGGTTTCATAGTAACATCGTGGCGCAGTAGCAGCCGTTGCAGCAGTGGTAGTAGAAGCTTTGCTTGCACCTGCAGTTACACGCGAAGAATGATACAAGCTCCAAAGTACTAATCCAGCTGCTGCTGCTGCATCTACGGCTGCTTCAAATTTAGAGAAGGGTGGAGAGGAAGCAAGAGAAAAAGAAGGTTGAAACATCTAAGAAGCGAGTTATATTAGTTAATTAAATAACCTATCGACGAGAATTTTGATTTATAAATTGTCGACTCTAACAATTTCGTCGTAAATCTTTGCTCGAAGTCTTTGTTCCAATATATAGATGTCGATATACGTACACGCACGGTAAACCAAAAGAGAATCAATGATTCAACATCAATTTGCATCTCACGAGTCCACCCGCTTACCCACTTGCGGGGACGCGTGTATTATATACATACATACACGTCAACCAGAAATTGTACTTTCGCCCGCTATCTCGCGTACGCACTCACACACACATGCGCACAACAGAGTAATGGGAACAATCCGGAAGAACTACTCGAGAGGTGTATACATATATAGGAAGTTCAGCCACAGGATATGAGAGCGAGCTTGCAGCAGCGCAGTTTATAGCACCACGAGAAAAGTGTGCGAGAAAGAGAGAAATGCACGCGATGGTGGCTCTTGCAAAGAAGCTTTTGCCTCCACGTGTGTATGCATGCATGTGTGTGTGTGTATGCAAAGGTACTCCTATTCAACGAGCGAGAGAAAAATCTTGAATTCATTTTTTTCCCTTTGGCGTACACTACGTTATATACGTATATTTGCGAGTATGCGAAGGGAAGATTTGAGGTAGCGCCGCGAGTCGTACAGCCGACGCATATTCCAGGCTATAAATCGTTCACTGCACTTCTCGATGTCCCTGCGGAGTGAATGCGCGCACATATACACACACACGTGCGAACTCGCACTATCCTACTATATATGCGACGCGAGAGCGAGCTCTAGTAAAAATCTACGTCCTTTCACGCGCGCCCCGCGATCCATTCGCCGTCCCTGGAAAAGAATCGGTCCGAGCAGATCTCTTGGACGGGTTGTGGGCGAAGAGAGAAATGCAAGAGGTCGACATAAAAAAAAAGGAAAAATTGAGAGTGACGAAATGAACCAAGTTCGCGAGAAGAAGAGCTATATTCTTTTTCTCTGCGCTGAGTACTCACACACAATCGCACATACGTGTCGACTTATAAATACGAAAGAAGGGCTTACATATACTTACGATACATCGAGTTGGAAAATTGTTCACCTCGTCCCCGTCAATTATCGATCGAATTTTTCTCCGATATGCAATATATAATATATAATATACGGAAAGGAAAATACGGCGTTACGCGCATGTATATTATAATATATATCGGTGCAGCAACAGCCTATGTCGTGCCTATACACACACACACACACACACACACACACACACACATACACACACGGAAGCTCTTCTTCTATACATATATTTTACGAGCGCAAAAAAAGAACTCGCGCGCACGAGTACTTTCACTAGTACCAACAGCGGGGGCGGGTAATATGTTTGCGTCACGAGCGCACAAAGTACGTAGTATTTATTTGCGTGTGCATATACATCCACGCTGCTGCACTATTTGCCATCTAAGAAAAAAAGGATACGAGCGTGGGTGGGCGAGAAATTTTGTCTGTGTATATGCAGCCGCGTGTACGTGTGTATTTGACTCTAATATCCACTCCATACAGCTAATATAACTTATACTCGCTGCTTTTACGTATACGCAGGTGACGGCAACTTGTGTGTACGTTACGTGTGTCTGTGTGAGCGCAGGTGAGCTCGAGGGGGTGGTTCGGTACCCGTATCAGTGAAATGTGTACGGCATTGGCTTTGGTAAACAGCTTATACTGTAAGGTGTACCCGGCACCCCTTGCAGCTCCTCCATACCGCACCCTGTGCGCGCTATTCTTTTTTACAGGTCGGCTTTCAAGGCTTACAATGTTCTTATGTTTACATGGTCTCGTGCTCTCTGTTGTATCTAGTACTGTTACGGCACTATATTTAAGTCCACAGATACATATACGGTGGAAATGATATAATTCGAAATTATATAATTTGAATATTGCATAATTCGAGTCCCGATTGAATCAATATTTAAAAAAGTCACCTGATTCGAAGAAAATGTCGTACAATCAAACCTTTTATTTGTAATTTTCGAATTATGAGATATTTTCTTCAAATTTAATACTATTTAATAAGAATAAATTCCGTATCCTTGTTGAGCAAAACAGTAAATAGTACCTAAGTTACTGCTAGATGGCGGATGTCTCAATTGTCAAAAATCACAAGAAAAAAAGCAAGGTTCTAGAAATAAGAGATCTAGATCACTACCGTCTACTTGTCTAGCTTGTTAATTGCTGCACACACTTGTTACAAAAAATACTATTTCTCAATGGATATTCCCCATGCAAATAACATGGCGAAATTAAGAAATAGCAAAGTTGAATTTTAGTGATAATAAAATAAAGAATTTTGAAAAACGTTATCATTTTAAAAAAGGGGTAATAAATCATAGGAAATATTAAATGTATTAGTAGCAAGTAATTTGAAAATAAATCGAGTTACATGGTCGTTACATAATTCGATTTAATTGCAGTCCCCACAACTTCGAATTATTTCATTTCCACTGCATATAAGTTTTCTTGAAATTTTGTTATTGATTTATTTACTTACCTATTCATGTCATTCATTTTTTCTTCTCGGGTACTAAGGAAAAGAGGAGTGGAGTCAAACTGCATCGCTCGGGCTTCGATACCCAATATGTAAAGGCTCGCCTCAAAAATTTGAAATGTTTTCGCGATATCGCATAATTTTCGAGGGCTTTGGGGGGTTGCTGCTCGCAAGCAGCCAAGAGGATAAAAATGTTTTTTCATTCAAAAGTAGTAGCAATATATACATCGACAAATAAAGGTCCGCATGCCCTCACATACACACACACACACTTGCACACGCGCGCGCATCGGGCTGCAGCTCGGATGTTTTCCCAGTGTCGCACAGGCAGAAAGAACAAAATATACACCAACGGCAATAACACTAGAATGAAAAACATTCTTGTTTGTAACCGGCCTGGTGCATTCTCTCTCTCTCTCTCTCTCTCTCTCACTTGCGCATGTATAGTCGTTGTTTACGCAACAGCTAGCGAAAATTACACTCCCGCGCGTTTTCCTTCATTTCGCTACTCTCTCTCTCTCTCTCACGCGCGACAGCTCGCGTTATATCCTCACGCCGAGTCACCGCCGCCGCTCGTCTGTTTATTCATTTACGTCTTTTCATTTTGTTTTTTAATTCCTCTTTATATGCGCTGGGGAATTTTCAACGTTACACTGCGCCTCTTATTTCGCAAGAGTATGTGCGCGTGAATCGAGTATATAAATATACCCTTTGCATATTTCGACGAGAGAGAGAGAGAGAGAGAAAGGGTGAAAGACAAGTAAAAAATATACCCTCGCGATGTATACGTGTATGTATGTATCGTCAATAGAGCAAGCATAGCTTGATACACGAAACTCAGAGTAATTAATCTTGTGCTGCGTATATAGCTGGGAGCGTACGTGTGTGTACGAGAGGAAGGTTTGAAACCTTGTCCTCTCTCTCGCTCGCTCTTCGAGTACACACTCGTGTCTGATATCCGAAATCGTTGTAAGCAAGCGGAGTTGCGAGTACTCAAATGATTCACTTGCCACTAATGATATATATGAATATGCTCTTCCCTACATACGTATACGTATACATAGATGTATACGCGAATATATAGGCAGAGCATGTGTATATACTGTATATGGGTTATGTCTTGCTAATATCTGTGCGATGCGTTTGAGCCCCCCCCCCCCCCCCCCCCCCCCCCCNCCCCCCCCCCCCCCCCTCACCCAACGTTTGATTATTGTGCATGCGAGTATAGAAGATATAATTGACGCATTTGTTTAACCTCTTGATTTTCTGTTACAGGTAAGGAACTTAATTACCCAAGTAGTAATAATGGTGAGTGTTCTTACTTTAATTAACCATCTAACATTTTCATTCTCTTCTTTTTCTGCAATTATATTACGTAATTTGTACTGTGTGAATAAGCCTCTGTAGCTTAACTTTTTGTTCTGTATCTGAAGAATTGATCGTTAGCCGTCGACCTATATTAACCTGTACATAATAATTATATGATAATTCGTCTATCTGTGATTAATGGAAACAATTCAAATGCTCGAGTAAACACGATTAAAAAGATAAAGATATTTGAGTTGAGAATCTTATTACTGTGTGTACTCGTGTGTGTATTCATAGTTTCATATATCTTATTGAGTTTGGACTATATACCTGATTAACTTTGCTTCCGACTAATCCAATATCCAGGATGAATCTCGTTTATATATATAGCGTCGCCTTCATGCTTTATTGATTTTCATCAATATTTGATACTTCATTAGCATAATTACGAAGTGCCTTCAAATTTTTTACGATGCTTAGCCTTGCAAAAGAATAAAATTAAGGGAAAAAATAGCACGTAACACGTTTCGCCCATCCGCGTCTGGGTTTTTTTTTCGCTACCGTCGGTGTCTTTTTTTTACGATCGAAGACGTGCGGGTATCAGCTCGCTGCCAGTCGCCTAGCTAGCTCCTCTTGTCAATCCAGCTGATTAGAGAAAACCAAAGGGAAGGAGAAAGAGGGACACACCGAAAGCGAATTATGCCGTGGTTCGTCGATTTCAATTTGCCTGATGCACTGCCGGTCGGAGGAGTGTATCCCGCTTTACTCTGTATCCCGAGGAAATCAGGAGGAGATACTCCCACACTCGTCTGCGCACACACACAAGAATTATTCAGTATATTGCCTAGGAGCTCTCTTTGACGAGCTCAAGAAGGAGGGTGTATATTCTTCGAGGATTTCTCTTTTACGATTTTACGAGCTTTATGCTTAAGACGAAGTAACGAGGGAAGGGGGGAGATGTGTATGCACGAGCCTTTGGCGATCGAGCGAAAACCAGGAAAAATTTCTTCTTCCTTTTTTTTTTTATTTAAAATAAAAGTTTACGGCACTCGTATTAACTTAATTCGTTCGATTCGTGGGTGGGGATACGACAACCTATGGGAGAGCCAAACAAAAAATGTGTAATCGCTACTCGAGCGATAACTAGAGAAGATATGAAAAATAAAAACAAACGCTCGTGGCGTGCGGAAAATGCATACCACGTTGGGCGTTGATGCGGTGCCCGCGAATGAAAGAAAATCAAGCCCGATATACTTGAAATAATGCAAGTAGAATAAAAAAATAAAAAATGCCTCGCCACCGTACAACACGCTTTTCGCATATCAAATGAAATCGCATTTTAATTTGGGTACGCGTAAATCCATGCGGCATTGTGCGAGGGGTCGAAAAATACCGGAATAGCGGTGAAAAGTCAGAGCGAGCGAGATCTTGACCATCAGCGTGGCGTTTTTTTACGCGCGAGTGTGTATCAAGCGATGCGTCGTCTTCGTCGTCATCGTTATTTTTTTTACATTTTTGCATTCCTACGTACGAACTGCTTCTTTTATCTTACACCCATATTACACGACACAAAGCCGCCGCCACCGCTTCTGCTGCTGGACAGAGAGAGAGAGAGAGAGATTATGCATTAGCACGCTGCTCTGACCATGCCTCGAAAATAAACGAAATGAACGCAAAATAAATAAATACAAAAAAAAAAAACACCGAAATGTTGGCAAAAAGATTTTCTCTTCGCGTGTGTGCGCGCTCGCTGGCTTATATCGCATTTAATGGATTGTTTGAATGCGCAAAATTTTCTGCTTAGTTGTTGATGTTTTTTTATTTTCGTTGCCGGGAGGCGAGCAGTAGAAGCAGCAGGATGCGAATATCGCGAGCCACGCGCAAACTATTTTTAACCATTAATGTAATTGTGCATTACACGCCAAGCGTATTATCTCTATCTCTGGGTTTTGCGCAAATTGAAACACGTCTGACTGAAGCTATGTATATTTAATCTGTTTGAAAACGTGCTTTTAATAATTATTATTTGACAAGTTAATGGCTAGGATCGAAGTTCCCGAACGAAACTGTCATACAATGGTAGATGAAAATTAATTACATTCTTGCCGTACTATTGCACGTGTAACCTCGCGCACGGTAACAAATTTAGGTCTCGATGCAACACAGCGTCTCAAGGCAATTTAATCGCGGGGTTGTACCTATGCGCCACACTCGGTTATCTGTGAAACATCTCGAGCGATTCAAGTCGTTTTCTCGAACAATCCAGACAGCATTTGAATATGAACCACAGCAGCAGTTCTTTGTTTTCGAGTACGTAAAGTAGAATGGTCCACTTTTGAAAAAAAATTTGTAACTCGGTGAATCCAACAGAATCAGAAAAATTATAGCTTGAAACTAAGTTGTCTTTTATGAAAAATTCGAATGAGTGACAGAAATTTTCGTCGGACCATGTTTAAGATAAGTGTTCGGTTGCATTCTTATATACTTATTTTGACTTTGCCGCTTGTATTTTTACAGATTATGGTACTCGCCATCTAGTGGTGGAGATTAAAGGTAGTTCAAGTGTTCGAAAACTGGTCTTAATTTTTTGAAACAGAAATTTACCATTTTCAATCCATTAACGTTTTCAACATTATTCTAGCTGAAAATTGCCATAAACAAGTCAATTAATGGTTATGTATTTTAAACCCGTTCGAATAGTCATTTTTTGTGCAATAGGCCTCTATTAATGTTGAGCATTTCTACCACAACAGTTATGAAATTTCAGTATTCAACGAAATCTGCGATTAGACATGCGTACGTGCGCGCGCACGCAGTCGTCAAACAATCGGTGGTCAATCGGAGGTTTTGTAATGCCGAAGCGTTGGTAAATGAGCGATTTTAGACGAGGGAGGCAAACACGCGCACCCACCCAATAGAAAATTCTATTGACTTCGGTATACAGACGCTCCGCATCGTGGATCCCTCGGTTATGTATATGCACGCTCGCCTATGAAAGACATTTGAATATATAACGAACAAATATTCAAAAGGTTCTCCCTCTCGATACGTATACACACAAATATATTTATACGTCAACGATGCACAGTCGTATTTCGGACGTAATAGCCGTAACCGACCTCCCGCGCACGTGTACGTTCCGCGGTTTTAAGCGTTGTTGACTCTCGAATCATCGTTAGATTTTCGCCATACGATGTATAATAATGATAGTAATAGTAATAATAATAATAAAGCCTATACGACGGTTAAAGGGGGTGACTATGCGGACGCGTTAATTAAATATTTTAATGAAAATCAATGAAATAAAGCCACGGGCACGTTTGGCGTGGGCCATACTCGGGCAAATATTTGCCAGTCATAGCATCTTGCGTTGCTTTATTTTGCATCGATCCTCTTCCTGCCCGCCCCCTGTCGCCAGTCATTAGAGCTGCAGCGCTCTGATTCTTTATTTTCCGAGTACAGAGTTGTTGAGTTTTATAGCCCAAGCGTGCGCCTGGCAACAACGACGACGCACAATGGACGAACGATGCGAGTTCTCTCTCTCTGCTGCTGCTGAATTGTCGTATTTTTCGCGGAAATTGTTTCGAGTGATTTTCGTTCGATTTTTTTTTAGTCGTCGTCGTTGTTACTTGACATGTGGAACGCGCGAGTGATGAAGAGAACGAGAGAGAGAGAAAAAATCCACTGTGGCAGTTTCGAGCCAAGCTCGTGAAACGTCATAAAAGCTCTAAATATTTTTCCCCGAAAAAATCGTAAACATTTAATCGCCCGGGTAATTCGCTTATCAATTAGGGCTATCTTACTCGAAATTATTCTCCCCCTCGTTTTACGTCCTTTCTTTTTTTCTTTTTCTCGTCATTCGTGCATATTACGCAGCATAATAATACGCGCGCGCGCGCACGAGCGAAAATGGAAAAACGATGTGGTGAAGCGCGCACACACTCACACTAGTACTGCACACCACTGGTGCTGCTGCAAGGCAGTAGTATGTACCAATAATAAGGGAAACATTGTAAGCGCTTTAGAAATCTCGTTTGCTCGAATGCGTGTGCGCTACGTTATGCTTTTCTCGCTTTTCTTTTTTTTTTCGTCGTCGTCGCACACAGCCAGTCTGTGCCTGGTTATTTTCATTTAGCCAGCCAGCCAGCCAGCCGAGTTCTACTCGCACTCTAGCCTGATTTCCCCAGGTGACACGTCAAATCGGTAAGAATCGAAACAGCTTGCCTGCGCGTTATTTCTTTTTATTTTATTTTATTTTTTCCGTGTGCGAGTGCTTCGGGTGCATCATCAGCGTTCGCGCGGATACTATATTTCTTCTCTCTTTTTTGCACCATTGTCTTTATCGGCTCGAGACTACCTTCGCACATAAGCGAAGCTGGTGTGTGCGAAGCACACCTATACACGCACAGAATACGCGCACAAAGGTCGTCCGCGAATCAAACGAATTTATTACGCATCGCGCGTATAAGTGTAAGCAGCGTGCATTGATTGGCTGCAATCGATGCTGGAATTATTTTGCGAATTTTCATCCCATATCCCGGCTGACTTTCTGCTGGCTGCGGCGCAACAGCAACAGCATCGGTAGCATCAGCAGCCCTTTCGCATGATTAATGAAACCATATTAAGAACGGGCCAAAGTACGCACCGACGTACAATTTCACTGAATATCAAATAAACCCCGTACAAGTACTCTCGTATCTCATTAATATCCATTTAATGCAACGCAGCCTTACACTCACACGCTCACAGACACGCATTTATACGTGCACTTACACGTCTCATCCGTATATATACGTTTGTACGTCTGCATTATATTATATACACGATTTTCAACGAAAATCCACTCGGTCGATCTATGGTTGGCTGGCTGGCGCGCTCTCAGGCTAAAAACGCGCGTCTGTAAGTAAGTAGACTTTATTAAAATGGCCCACTCATGTGGATGAATTTATCCGCGACGTGCGCTACTGCACTGTGTGTGTGTGTGTTACTCCGTAGAAGCC